CCTCTCACTGGGGGGCACAACATACACAGACGCCGCTGCTCCCCGACTCTCTCCCCGGGCGCGCTCAGACCAGGACTCCGTGGCGAATCCAGTCGTCTGGCGGCGCACGCAAAGGGACTGGCGCGGGGGGGGGGGGGGCCTTCTTCTGAGAACCCTGGCATTCCCGGGTCGTGGAACAAACACGACAAAAAGTGTTCGACACTTTCGGTGGCTTCCGGGGACCGCGCCGGGCCTCAGAGCCGTCAGCAGAAAGACTCAAGGTGAGAAGCCGGTCACCAGGAAAGGGCCAAGACCTCTGGGGAGCCGCGTTGCCCCAAACAACGTGACGTCGGATGTCTGAAGGCGGGGAGGCTTCGTAGAATGCAGGGGCCTTCCTCGCAGGGCTCCTCCGCCGATAGCAAAGGGGGGATAGCAAAGGGCGGGGGGATAGCAAAGGGCGGGGGGGACGAACTTAGCTGCGCGCAGCTGGTTTCCCTGGTGGCTACGCATCAAGAACGACGCTGGGCGGAGGAGCCGACACCAAGTGCATGCGGCAGATTTGGCCCCCCCACCCTTCCCATCCTGTCGCCCGACCCGATCTCGACGGCCACCCCCTCCCAGAGATCCGACGCCATAGCGTTTTGTTCACACTGTGGCTCCCAGAAAATGTCTGGAGACCCCAGGCTCCTCATCCCGCATTGCTTCGGATGCCCCCAAAGGCCGAGAGAAAATCAAAGCCGCTTTGGTTTTTCCGCGACGCAGGGATGCGCGAGGGCCTCCCGACAGGGCGGCAGCGCGGCAGGTGAGCATCGTTTAACCGATCCCCATGCCCACCGACGTGGGCTGGGCCCCACTGGCCGATAAACCCCCTAGATGGGGATGTAGGCCGTTCCATTTGGGTTTCGAAGGGTGTATCCCCAACTGGGGTGGTAATTTGGTGGGGGTCTCGACGGGGATGAGGATGGGGATAGGGGTCGGTTAAACGATACTGAGCAGAGGCCCCGGGCCATGTCCAGCAGCTTCAGCTCCCTCGGGAAGCGCTGGCGCAGCTCCTCGGCCCGCTCCTCCCCGCGGGGGCGGCCGTCGTCGTCGTCAAAGGAAGAGGAGGAGGAGGAGGAGGAGGAGGAGGAGGAGGAGGAGGAGGAGGAGGAGGAGGAGCGTGGCCGAGGAGGAGCGTGGCCGAGGAGGAGTAGGAGTAGGAGGAGGAGGAGGAGGAGGAGGAGGAGGAGCCCTTGACCTCGAGGACGTCCTCGTCAGAAGAGGACGGGCATCGTAGACTGGGAGGATACGAACGCCAAGAAGTTGTCCGAAGGTACACGCATTCGCGTCACGTCTGGAACAGTGTGCATGTTCTGGACTTCAGGGCGGGGGACGACAGCAACTTTCAGAGGGGGATCGGGAGAGCATTGGAAAATGGGAGGAGGGGAGGTGGGATGGAGACAGGACCCGGCAATGCCACAAGGGGCCACCACGAAGAGGTCGCCGCCTCCTCCCAGAGGCTCAGACCCTTGAGGAATCTCCCCAGACCCTCCAGGACTCCCAAAGTCACCCAAAAACGTCCCAAACCTCATCGATTCTCGATCCTTCCTCCTCCTCGATCCTTCCGATCATCGATTCTCGATTCTCGATCCCAGACCTCCTCGATTCTCGATACTTCCTCTTCCTCGATCGTCGATTTCCACGAGGAGGTGGCGACCCCCTATAGTGGTGACTCCTTGTAGCACTGCCCAGAGGGCGGAGAGGGCAGAGCGGAAGAGGGAATGGAGGGCAGGAGAAGGGAGGGAAGTACTGGAGGCCTGGAAGTGGGCACCAACACCAACACAGGGGGTTACCTCCAAATGGGGAAGATGATCCCAGATTTCGAAGTTGATGGAAATATTTCTGCCACCTGGGAAGCCAGAATACTACCACCATCGCCGAGATCGGGATCGTCTTCCCTCGGTGGAGGCACACCGCCGAAATTGGTGTTGGTGTCAACCTCTAGGCCTACGACTGAAGGGGTCGGATGTGACAGGCAAGTGAGAAGGAGGGGGAGGGAGGGCGGATGAGAGGGGGGAAGAGAGAGGACAAGAAAGAGAGAGAGTGGGAAAGAAGGGGGCGGGGGCAAGGGAGACCTTGACGTCCTCGCGTCGCGAATTAAAAGCATTAAACCACGACGGAAAGTGTTTGTCAATGTTCCACCTCTGAGGAGCCCTGCTGGGCCGCAGGACCTTCAAGGAAGGACTCAGGACGAAAAGCCGGTTCCAGGCAAGGGGTCCGGACCTCTGGGGAAGCCAAAACTGCAAACAACAAAAAAACATGAGGTCGGATGTCTGGGGAGGGAGGGGATGCAGAAGGAGCGCATCAAGGGAAGGGAGTGAGAGATGGAAGGGGGAAGGGGGGGAGGAGTGAAGGAGGGAAAGGAGGCGGAGTGAGAAAGGAATGGAGAGAAGGACGGGCTGATACAATCTCAGCGAGCGTAATGTCTATATCCAACTTACGCCCAACCGACACGTACGCACACATTGCTTTCATGACCAAAGATTCGCGTGGCAAGCATCGAGCACAAGCGAGCACAAGCGCACGAGCACGAACGCACAAGCACGCGCTTTTATCAGGCAAAGCCAGCGCGTCTCAGCCCAAGCTCAGGGGCAACGTTAAGGGGGGGGACCGTCCCCAGAGGGGAAACATCGAGCTGGAATTCGGCGACACATCCCCGATGGATCGGCGACGGGCTCCCGATAACAAATCCGCACGCGCCTGGGCGGCGGGGGGCGCACGAAAACGAGCCCCTATCGACGGTGAGTGCGAGATTTGGGGGTCGATGCGCCCCCCTCCGAGCCAGTCCCACCCAACCGATGCCCCTGAACCGCACCGTACGCCCGACGGGCCCTCCTGGGAGGCGGAGTGCTTGCGCTGGCAATCGCGCCGTCTTGCCTCAGGTCGGGTACGTCCCCCAACAGGCGGATTTTGGACGAAAGATAACAAATACCCCCCAAAAATCCCCAAATGCTCAAAGATAGTCAAAACATTGTCCCCAGACTATTTTCTGACTGTTTTCAAATACTCCTCCTGCAGAGGGGCACGCCCGACTTGAGTCTTGCCCCCCGCGGCGCGCCCATGGGGCCGGCCCTCGAGCCGACGAGCCCCAGAGCCGCTCACTTCGAGCGCTGGCGCATCTTGCGGCGCTTCTTCTGCAGCCGGCGCGTCCTTCGAGGGCGTCCACAAGGAGGGCGTCCAGGAGGGGTGGTCGCAAATCATGGCCCCGGGCATGTGCACGGCCCAAGGGGAGAGGCCAGGGGACGCACTGACGGCGGGGCCATGGCATCCAGGAAGATGCCATGACCCCGGCCATGCTCTCCACACAACCCTCGTCACCGCTCCCCTCTTGGACGCCATCGTGTCCTCTTCTTCTTCCACTTCCACCGGAACATCGAGCGCGCCTTCTTGTACGGGTTGGACTTGTGCGCCATCGCGGCGAACTGCCTGCGAGGGTCCTCAGTAGTGCCGCGCACGTGGCTCAAGGGCCCGCAAATGGCTACGGTGGCGTCCTGGGAGGAAGGGGGAGGAGGAGGAGGAGGAGGAGGAGGAGGAGGAGGAGGAGGAGGAGGAGGAGCGCACGTAGCTTGAATCCATGGTGACTCAGCTACGGCCAGGGCCCTAGCATCGCATCGCGACGAAGGCTGCGGGGCTCGTATGTCGTAATGGTAGGTGGGCGTGGCCGCTCTTGGCCTGCCCGCAAGGTCAGCTTTCAGCTTGTGGTAAATATGGAAGCTCAGCACTACGATATCGGGTTTCATTATCGGGTACTGGGCCAAGCCCCAGACGTGTGAGAGGACAGGTGGGGAGGAAACCACGAGGGAAAGCGAGAAGGTGGAGGAGACGCGGACAAACAAGGTAGTGTTGGAAGGAGTCTCGGGCTTGGCATCCAAACAAACACTGACACTCCGTAGCGCTCGGAATTCGTGCGGACGTGGTCCATCCGCCGGACAATGTCTTGATGTGTGCCCAAGCCCACGAAGGAGGAGACCGAGCTAGGATGGATCGGAGCGCCTCCCATCTCCGCCCGAGCTCCGCTTCGGGGATCTGGGGGTCATGGGGGAGCCACGCACGGATCCTTCGGGCAAGGGGGGAGGGGAAAGAGTCGGGGAACAGCGAGGAAGTGAGAGAGCGAGTTAGGATCCGCTGGGGGCGAGGACGTCTCGCCTCCAGCCCGGCGCTGTGGATCTCGATCCGTGCAGCACGGGTCGCCGTCTCCCTCGCCTGACGGGCGATGCCTGGCGGGTCCCAAGACTCCGAGAGCAAATGTTCAAAGTATTCGCCTATGGATGACGGGTTTTCCCAGCATGCCGGGCTCAGGAGCCCACGCGAGAAGCGAGTAAAACCTCCGTGCATTTCCGCCTGCTGCCTGAGAATCGCGAGAGCCCCCCGCCAAACTCGCCCACCCGCCGTCCCCAACGTGTGGAACGCGGTTCCAGGAGGAGGAAGAGGAGGAGGAGGAGGAGGAGGAGGAGGAGGGTCCCGAAGCAGTAGCCATTTTGGCTCAAGCCACTTTGGCTCGAGCTCGCCAGCCGAGCCGCGGCCCGGCTGGCGCCAACCTCTAAAATGGAACGGCAGTCTCGGCGTGGTGCGCTCTCGCAGCGGGCGCAGCCGATCAGGGTGGCACGCCTGCGCGTGGCACGCCAGGTCTGCGAAGCAGGCATGTAGCAACCAGAGTCATAGTTAGCAGTGCATGGTGAGGGGAAGCATCAACGCAGCGTGCACGCGATCCGTAATCATTGGGCCCATGAGCCGCCTCGCGCGGCGTGCGTCGCAGCCACCGTACTGTTAGCCTTGATCCTGAGAGAAACAATGCATTTGGATAACATTCTGTGCCCAGCAGGTTCTCGTCGCCCGACGGGGCAGGCAACAAGCAGCCCAAGCGATTGTGAACGACGAGACACAGGATCAAAGGAGTTGCATCGAGGAGCTCCAAGCACAGCGCTGCAAGTGGGAGAACTGGTGGGCCCATCAAGAATCACAGCAGTGGCAGCAGAGGCAGCACAGGGACTCGTTCGGGTGGGACATGCTGGATGCCAGACTGGGACAAAGACACGTTCCAGAACCAGGGCGCGCGAGAAGCTGTGGGAGGGAAATCAGGCGGTGGCGCGCTGGGACACCAGACGCAGTCAGCGCCCTCCGTGGACCAAGATGTGCGAGAAGAGCAAGCAAGCAGTGGCAGCAGGTAAAGTGCGCGAGAAGAACCGGCAGGGGCAACAGGCTTCGGCAAGAGTGCTGGATGTCAGACGCCATCAGCTACATACGTCGTGTGCCAGCGTGTGCGAGAAGAGCCGGCACCAGCAGCAAACAGCAGTGATAAAGTTGGACACCAGAAATCCTCACCCGTATGCGTGGAACAGCGCGTGCTAGAAAAGCAGGCAGTATAGCGGGCAGCGGTCAAGGAGATGGGTTCCAGACGTCATCAGCTACGTGCGTGCGCCAACATGTGCGAGAAGAACCAGCAGCTGCAACAGGTGATGGTGACAGGCCCGATACCCTCGTGATGGCCGAGATGGCGCGCGAGGCTTCTGTTGCCAAGCGCCAAGCCATCGCAAGCCGGGCTGGACACGAAACAACGTCAACTACACGCGTGGAGCACGGTGTGCTAGAGGCGCCGGCACTGGCAGCAAGCAGCGGTGAAGAAAACGGATACTGGACGCCATCAGCTGCACGCGGGTGTGCGAGAAGAGCCGCCAGTGGTAGCAGGCAGTGGTGCAAGAGCTGGATAATATCATATGTCATCAACTACAAACTGGGACCAGCATGCGCGCGAAGAGGCGACAGCTGTAGCCCGTTCCCCACGGATATTATGCCCACGTGGCTTCAACGCGACTTTTTTCCCCACAGGCGAGGAGTTGTTACTTAGGCGACCCACGTGGCCAACGAACACTGTACTTCGCGATATCTACCCGGATGTGAGCAAAGTTGGTCGGGACGCCAATACGGGTACCGTTCACACGCAAGTTGGCCCCAGACTACAAACACTACTAATACGAGAGAACTGCTGACAGCGGGGGCAAACAGCGGCGAAGAGAAGGAATACCGCCATCAGCAACAGGCGCGGACCAGCGTGCGCGAGAAGAGCTCGCAGTGGCAGTAGGCAGTCGGGCGAACGCTTGCAAGAAAGAGGCAGAGATGCGAGAAGACCAGGCAGTGGCCAAGCAGTGGCGCCAGAAGAGGCAGTGTGGGCAGTGGCGCAGTGGCAACAGACAGCGTTGCGGAAAGAAGCGGCAGTGGCAGCAGGCAGTGGTGCCAGAAGTCGTCGGATCCATGCGTAATCATGCGTGCGAAACCCCAGGAGCAGCGACTGCAGTCATCAGTACAATGTACACACTCTATGGAGGTTCTTGATAGGTCTGTCTTTCGCTCCCTACGCGTACGCCTTCGGGCGTCTGGGCTATGCGGACACCACGAGGTGCAGGAGGGACGGAGAGGAGCAGGGCGTACAAGAAGAGGCGGCCGTGGCAGCAGACAGAGGCAACAGCCACACGGCTGACAGCGACTACGAGGAGAGCGACGGGTCCAACAGCTACAATGAGGAGAGCGATCGCAACAGCTACCACGACGAATGCGACGGGGATCCGGAACTCCAGTGGGTTGCCATCGACAAGGTGGCCAAGGCAGGCATTCTCGACCTCGTCAGGCTCCTGCCGGCAGAAAGGCTCCGACAAGAGCGGGCAGTGGATCTGGGATGAAAAATGAGAAATACCCTAGACATATGCAAACAAAAATTCAAAAATGGTCAACAAATCGTTCCCTGACTATTTGTCAACTACTTTTGAATATTCCTCCTGTAGAGGGACACGCCCGACTCAAGGCTGCAAGCAGAGGAGAGACTGGAGGCCAGACGTCATCGGCAACCTCCGTGGGCCGGCGCGCGCGAGACGAATCAGAGGTGACAGCCGGCAGCAGTGGGAGAGCTGGACACCAGACACCATAAATCGAGGACGGCGGGAAGGTCTGGTTCAGGAAGGGTGATCTCGACGGCTGCTCGGGCGCGCCTCGGGTCGTGCCGGAGTGCCTAAGGTCGGGCTGGGAGGGCCTCGAGCCCAGCGAGGCCAGCCTTGCCCAACGAACCCCTCTGGCAGCCTCCGAGTCAACTGCGTGCGCGGACCAGCGGAGGCGAGAGGGCTGGCAGAGGCGGCGGACAAGAGCGCCGCACACCGGGGCGGGAGCGACAAGGGCTGTGGCCGCGACAAGTCGAGCGGGTGTACGGCGAGAGACTGATCTACGTCGGGGACCCCTCCCACGACGTTGACTGTCTTCGAAGGGGCTAGACAGCGGCCAAAAGAAGATGCAGGGACAGGGGGCAAAAGAATGGAGAGACGGAGTGTGAGCACTAATTGTGCGAGCGTGCGTGTGGAGATGGGGGTGGACCATTGGAAACCACTGCCAACCACATGCGGGGTTTTGGCAGCGAGGAGGAGGGCCAGCCCCGATAAGCACGGGCCCCGCGCGGGACCTGAGCATGGCACGTCCTGAAGAGCCACATGAAGCAGCCGGGCAGGGTGAAACACTGCAGAGAGATCACCGAAGACGGCACCGTCTACGGTGGGTCGATGGGGTACGGGCACGTGCGCTTCTCCATCAATGGTGATGTCCAGCAGGCCGTCGCCACTCTTGCCGAGGCGGAGCTCATGGGTCGGAGGATACTCATCGGCAGGTAGCAGATGTCATTAATGAACATGCCTTCTACTTTCGTCCAGCACACGTGGGCCAGCAGTGGCAAGCGCGTGGGAAGATCTGGCAATGGCAATAAGCTGGGCACGATGCATCAAAAACTGCATGCGTGGACCAACGCGGAGCCAAGGAGATGGTTGTCATAGCCGTGCGAAAGGAGAGCCTCTTCTGTTTCGCGATCGCGGCCGTTACCAGCCCCGGCCCTCCCTCCCCCTTGTAACGTCACGATTCGTGCCGGCGCCGTCTGGGAATACCCAGGAAAAGGCAAGAAAGATCGAATAGCAGATGGGTGTCGGGACTTGGTATGGCAGAGCGTGCGCTATGCTGTGGATGCGACAGGACTTGCGATAGATAGCTACGGATAGCTGAGCGTGAAGCAGGAGACTGCTGGGAACAGGATGCGGTTTTACCGTACCCCCTCCCTTCCCTCCTCCGCCTTCTCCTCCTCCCCCTCCTCTCGTCGTCCTCGTCCTCCTTACTACAGTGTCAGGTGCTCCGCACAAGGGCACCACAGCCCCCGACACCCGACCCCACGGGGGAGGGGGCTCCCGGGCCAGGCTCCACACGACGCAGTCGGTCTTGGCCTCGACCTGCGGGGGGCGGAGCGACCCCGGGGCGGACACGGAGGAGCCAGAGGGGCCCCGGAGGCGCTGCGGCGCACCCGCTCCACCGGGAGCCTCTCTTCCAGCGTGGGATCTGTCTTTGTGGCGTGGTCCCCTGGGCGTCTCGGTGCTGCCAAGCCTTGCGCTCGATGGTCTGCGCTCGACGCTCGAGGGGGGGGGAGGTTCTCGTGAACTATCTTTGTGGTATGTGTGTGTGTTTCCCCAAACAGTGCTTGCACCTAGGGTTCCTTACTTCTCTTCGAGGGAACTGGCCCAGAATGCCGATCTGGCGGTTCCGTGCTTGCCGTCGCGGCCCCGTCGCCGTCTCGTCGCCGCCCGTCGTCTGGGCCTGGGTGTCGGTCTGGCGGCCCCGTGCTCGTCGTCGCCACCTCGTCTCCGCCCCGTCGCCGACCCCGTGGTCGCCTAGTTTGACTCACATAGATTGCACCACATTCATTGAACAACATGGATTGCACCGCATAGATTGCACCGCACAATTTGCACCACAAAGATGGCACCACACATATTGCACAACATCGAATGCACCACGTAGATTATCAGCATCGGTTGCACCACACAGATTGCATCACACATATTGCTCCACGTGGATTGCACCAACTATATTGCACAACATAAATTGCATTATATAGATTGCACCACGTCGATTCCGTCACAGAGATGGACCGCGCAATCTCTAATGTTAGAAGCACAGTATTTGGGGGTCCATTATGGCCAACATATAAAGATACACATCCACACATGTGTATGTGTATGAATGTATTCACATGCGTATGCACCGTATGTAGATCTACGAGTGTACATATAACTGGATACACCGTTGAAGCGTTGACCCGTTTGCTCTTTAATACCACGGGCACACAAAAGGCGTGGTATATGATCAACCAGGACTGTATGATGCGTCCTCTGCAACTAAAACTGTACACACGGCATGGACAATATTATAACGAAGGGAATTGGGACACAGTCTTCGTCGATCTTACCGACAGCCCACACGACATCCAAGAACATTCCACGAAGCAGACAGGAGGTTTCCAAGAGGCCGGGAGACGCTCGCAAGAGGCTTCTGGCAGGCTGCTGCGCGGCGGGGCAAGTCGAACATCTCAAATGCTTTCTTTTGGGTGACACAAAAGGGGGTCCAGCTGAAAGGGGGTGGTGCAATAAATTTGGGGCTAATGTTTTGCAAATGTACTGCGCCGAAGAATTCGATTGCATTGTATTGCAAGTACTGTATTGCATGCGAAGACACAGCAATACATTTGCGCCCCGAAATGTACTGCACGCACCAAATGTATTGCAACCAGAAATCTGTTGCACCAAATCTATTGCACCACCCGTTGTCGCTGGACCCCCTTTTGGGTCAACCCGATCATTGGCCATCACCCTTTGTCACCCCGAGCTGCTGCCGCAAGAGAGCTCAAGAATTCGGACCCCGCGACGCTCCCCAAGCGGCCATCGAGAGGCCTCCCGACTGCCACAAGACGGCCCAAGATCAACAGAAGGCGGCCCTGGGCCCGTCGCCGACCCCCGCGGACCCAGGCGCGCCCCTGGGGCCAGCGAAGGCCCCGCGGAGTTCGAAACACTATGGCATCGCATCAGCTAAGAAGAACCGGTGGACCCGTGGCAGAGCCACCCCGGGCGCATCCCGCCGGTGCGGTGGCACGGCGGCGGGGGAGCACGCCGCAGGCAGCCCTGACCTCTCTGTCTCTCCCCAAGCGTCGGGCCACCCTGCGTGGGCACACCCTTCACCAGGGCCAGCTCTTTACCCCGAGTCGTTGCTAGACGGCCCCAGGGCATCGAACTGGTACCTAGCTGCAGATAGTTTGGACACGCCGGCCGCCTTTTGACTTTGTCGGGTCGCCAGGCGTCCGGAGTCCTGGTGGCAACGGGTCCCGGACCCCGGGGCTTTCCCCGCGGGGACCGTCCTCTCACACTGAGCCGCACATTGACGGACCCCATGGCCCAGGAAGCCGGGCGACGGCGAGAGGCCTCTAAGATATGGTCTCCACCTAGGCACCCTTTTCTTCATACTGGTTCCGAGTCAGGGCGCCAACAATGGGCCCCCCAGGCCTGTCCTAGGGTGCACCCTTGCCTGAGTTTCGAAAGGGAGTCAAACGTGGCGACAACGGGGCCTACGAGAGGCCCACAAAACACGAAAACCGTACAAAATTTCAAAGTATCAAACCTCGAACCGTCGACCGATGCATCGAGGCCCTCGGATCTGGCAGCGGCGACCGAGGAGCCTCGACTAGAAGTGCCAAGAAGCTAGAACACAAACGTGGCTGGACTCACGTTTGAAGCGTGCGAAGGCCACGCCCCGGATACCCAGGCGTCCGAAGGACTGCCCTCTTCAGTCCAAGATTTGTTCCACAGCTGCGCCCTCCAGGAGCCCCTTGTGGGCCCGGGGCCATCGAAAACGGACCCAGGATGCACAACCTGCCCCCGTGGAAGCGGGCGAGCGCTCTGGGGCCGCGGATGGAGAAAGAACGCGTGTCGTCAGATGTCTGGGTGCGTCAGGTTCATGTCGTGCCGACTTCGGCGCTGGTTTCTGACACCGCGGGGATCGTTCAATCTTGAACGATCGGCCATTTCCGAAACGTCAAAACCTTTCCACATCGAATGATTCTGGGTCGCCCGCGGTGTTCAACGTTGAACGCCGCTGGCGGGGTCGCCGCCGGTCGACACGACACGAACCTACCGTGCACATGCGGAGAGTCATCGCACCCGTCCCCTCGATGGGCCGAGCGGTGGAACGTCACAAGGCCACCACGTGCATCTGGCGCAGTCCCCAACTCAGTGGGACTCCTGGCTGGCCAAGCAATTCGGGTCCCAACTCGGCGAGATACGATGGGTGGTCGTCCCTCCTCGATAGGGGTGCGTCGGAATAGTTAGCCCCCTGGGGGTGTCCTCGGGCCCCCCTTCTTCTCCAAGCGGCCGGTGTCGAGAAATCGTCTGCGAGTCCGAGCGCCCGCTCCCTACCAATGTGCAACGTGAAGCAAGCGGGACTTGAGGGGCGGGTTCTGGACCCCGCCCGCCCCCCTAAAGAAGAAAATGAGTGCATAATATAGCACAAACATGCGGAGTTCCGCGCGGATTTCTGGGGTCAGCGCTGGAGCGCGCCAGGGGCGGCGCCGGCACCGGAGGGTGCCGCCAGGAGGGCCCAGCGCCGATCCAAGAAATCCGCGTGGAGCTCCGAAAATTTGCGCGCATGTCTTTTTTGCTGTCCCTCCCCCCCCCACGGGGGCCAGCTCTGCGTCCTGGGCAGCTCTCTGACAGCCCCAGGGGGTCCGGGAGTGGCCCCTGGGACGCCGAGGGCGGCGGAACACCTCATGCTCTGCTCTCCACCATGGCGAGACTCGGCGGGACGAACCGTTACGGATGCCCTGGGCTCCCCTGACCGCTCGCGTCGTGGTAGAATCACGGCGGGAGGTTTTGTTGAAACGGTAGCGGGAAACGCACTCCCCCGCCCCCCAAAAAAACTCCAAAATGGCACGCGCGGGGAAGACTGCGGTCGAAGTGCATCTCACTAAACCCACCGCCAACATTGATCATTTGGGGGGGGCATCGACACATGATTGTGGCATGAGTGTTCGCTAATTTATTTCGAGGCCTGAAGAAGTTTTCGGCCTCCAGGGGGCCCAAACAGGCCCTGGGGAAAGGGTCGGGACTTCTGGGGCCCTGCATTGGAACAGACAAGATATCGCATGCCAGGGTGACGATACCCCGCTGCTCCCAGGACCCCTCCTGAAGTGCGTGCTGAACAGAATTCCGATGTGAACCTGGCCGTGGTGTCGAGGGAATTGTAGCAGTATCGGTGTCTTGCGTCGGGGGTGGGCCTAACCCCGTCTAGCCTCTACCAACACTTTTCCGTCGCAGCGCGGCAGAGGCAGCCCGTACGCGCCCTTAGGCGGTCCGGGCAACGGAAGGCGCAAAGTAACCGGCGGCAGGAGGAGATGAACACATGCGATAGCGGCCGCGAGGGGGGAGGGAGAGAGGGGAGGGCGCTCACACGGCGAGGCGCTAGAGCGGCTGGGGCGGCCAGCCAGTGCGGCACCCCTGGCAGCGGGCGCGGGGCGGCGCCACGGCCACACCCAAAGGCTGAACCAGGGGCTGCAGTGCACGAAAGGGAGGAGGCACCGCAATTACCGAGATGGAAAACGAATGGCCACGTCAACGACGTCCCGCTCCAGCGGGGAGCCCAAGAGGTGGTAGGACCCCGGGCAACAAAGTGCAGCGGGGATGGTCGAAGGCCGGCTGGAGAGGGGGCAGGCACTAGTGTCACTAGTGCTGCCTGCAGGCTGGAGCTGCGTTGGGGGCGGGCGGGGGTGGGACTGATCTAACCAGTAGCCGACCAGCAGGTGGCGGGGACGCAGTGGCGCGCCCACCAAGCAGTGCCACGGACAGCACAGACCAGGGCGAACGGCGGTGGCCCGTAAGCGGCCCGAGGGGGGCAGTACCGGGGCAAACCACTGGGGCCCCAGGTCGCAGAACCGGCGACGCTGGTTTTGCCGACAGCTGCATTCGCCGACGCGGGTTTCGCCGACGGCTGGTTTCGCCGACGCTGGTTTCGCCGACTCGCCCGCTGGTCTGGCTCTGCTGGTTTCGCCAACCCGCCCGTCGCCGCCGTCGTCGTTCGTCGTCGTCGCCGTCGTCGTTAGCCAGCGTTGCCGTCATTGTCGGCGTGGTCGTGGTTGCAGTCGTCGCCGCCGTCGTCGTCGCCGTCGTGGTCGTGGTCGTGGTCGGGGTCGTGTTCGCGGTCGTGATCGTCGTGGCCGTGTTCGCGGGCGGGGTGGTGGTCGTGGTCGTGGGTCGTGGGTCGTGGCCGTGGTCGTGGTCGTGGTCGTGGTCGCCGTCATCGTCGTCGTCGTCGTGGACGTGGTCGTGGTGGTGGTCGTCGTCGTCGTCCTCGTCCCCGTCGTCGTCGTCGTCGTCGTCGTCGTCCTTGTCCTCGTCCTCCTCTTCGTCGTGCGGGTCCCGCCCGCTCGCGTGCTGGCAAGCTCCCCCGCCCTCCTGCATGTCACGCCCGCCCGACCCGCCGCCGAAGGTGCCACCTGCCCGACCCGCCCCTGAAGGTCCCGCCCGCCAGACCCGCCCGTTAGGGTCCCGCCCTTTCGCGCGCTGGCGAGGCCCCCCCGCCTGCTTGCGTGTCCCGCCCGCCCGACCCGGCCCGGCAAGGCCCCGCCCGCCCGACACGCCCGTTAGGGCCCCGCCCCTGTCTGGTGAGAGCTGTCGATACGAGCGATCAACATGTACCCGTGCAGACAAGGTTGAGAACCAAACTCGATGGAATTAAGAACGTGACGGATAAAAAAAGCCGTGCTGAGAAGTATGTAAGAACATGTCTGTTGCAAACTCGCAATAACAAATGATTTCAATAATCATGACAACGTGAAATCATATCAAAATCTGCTCAACCAGGCGCGAATAACCACCTAAAAAACAACGAAGGGATCAACGTTACATCAACGAATATGGATGCAAAACAACATCAAACAAAGTACAAGTTGTGAAGGCTGGAACTGACCACTGCTGGCGAGCCCGCCCGCTTGGATGTCCACCCGTCCGACCCGCCCGTTGGAGTCCCGCCCGGTCGCGTGCTGGCAAGCCTGCCCGCCCGCTTTCATGTCCCGCCCGCCCGACCCGCCCGTCAGGGCCCCGCCCTCCCCCGCTTTCATGTCCTGCCTGCCCGACCCGCCCGTCAGGGCGGACCCCAACCGCCCGACCCACCCGTGAGGGTCCCCCCCCTCCGACCCGCCCGATTGGGTCCAATTCGCCCGACCCGCCCGTTTGGGTCCAAAACTCACGCGTGCTGGCAAGGCCCTCCGCTCGCTTTCGCCTGCCCGAACCGCCCGTTAGAGCCCCCCGACCCGCCCGTCAGGGTCCCGCCCGCCCGATCGTCCCGTTAGGGTCCCGCCCGAACGACCCGCCCGTCAGGGTCCCACTTGGTCGCGTGCTGGCAAGCCCACCCGCCCGCTCGAATGTCCCGCCCTCCCGACCAACCCGTTCGGATCCCGCCCGTTCGCGTGCTGGCGAGCCCGCCCTCTTGAATTGTCCGCCCGCCCGACCGTCCCATTAAATCCCGCCCACCCGACCCGCCCGTCAGGGTCCCGCCCGCCCGACCTGCCCATTAGGGTCGCGCCCGCCCGACTGTCCCGTTAGGGCTCCGCCCGCTGTAATGTACCGCCCACCCGACCCGCCCGTTAGGGCCCCGCCCGCCCGACCCGCCCGTTTAGTGTACCGCCCGTTCGCGTGCTGGCAAGCCCGCCCGCTTGAATGTCCCGCCCTCCTGACCGTCCCGTTAGGCTCCGACCCGCCCGACCCGCCCCTAGGGGCCCAACCGTTAGGGTCTCGCGCGACCGACTCGCCTGTTGGGGTCCCGCCCGCCCGACCGTCCCGCCTGCTTGCATATCCCGCCCGCCCGACCGTCCCGTTGAGATCCCGCCCGCCCGACCCGCCCGTTAGGGTCCCGCCCGACAGCGACGACGGCGGCGACGGCGACGACGATGACGCCCACCGACGCCCCTGTGAAATCAGCCGTCGGCGAGACCAGCTGGCGAAACCAGCCCCAGGCGAAGCCAGCCGCGGTCGGAGCCAGCCGCCGACGAAGCCAGCCCCGGCGAAAGCAGCCGCAGACCAAAAACCCTGCCGCAAAAGCCGGGCCCGGCGGGCGCAGGCCCGCAAAACTTGCAGGCGCAACAGCACCATCTTGTGAACAATTCGAGAATCCACTTGGCAGGGTCGAGGTCCAATCCCAGGCGCGTGCTGTCTTGATTTCTCCAGCACGGGGCCCCCCAAAGCCGCGACCCGCTCCCAATTAGGGCCAGCTTGTCATCCCGAGCCGTTTGCTGTGACGGTCCGGGAGCTGGGCGAGGGCCCCCGGAGGCCGCAAACAGCCACGACGCGAGCATGCCTGGGATTCTTTTTCTCCTTCGGACGACGATCACCTACACGCAGGAGTGACCTTAGGCAAGGGTGACCTCTGGTGCACGGCTTCAGGGGTCGCGGGCGGGCCAAGTCATGGCGCGCCAGCCCAGGTCACTCCGGCGAAGGGTCGTATCCGAGACGACGAGAACGACGACGGCTGGAGCTTGGGCGCCCCCCACGGACCGCCGCCGGTCTGCGCGCGCACACGCCCAGCATCTCCGCCACGCCCCACCAGGCGCTCCAGGCGCACAGCCTGGGGGCGTCCACGAGGTGCGCCACGTCGCCGCCGCCGCGCCGTCTGCCCTCCGCGCCGCCGGCCTGCGGGCGCAGACGGCACGAATGGGCGCTTCGCGGCGGGCGGCGCGCGCGCGCGGCCCGGAGGGGTCTCACCTCCGAACAGGTCGAAGGCCGTCGCCGGGCCCCAGGACCGTGAGCCAGAAGCCTCGGGATGAAAACACCAGCCAGGGCCAAGACTTCCGCGGGCCCCGCATCGAAACGACCAAGACACTGCATGTCTGGGGAGGCCCTCGCAATGTGAGTGCCCTCCCTCCCCATCCTTCCGCCCCGCGGCCACTTGCGCCTGTCTCCCGCCCCATCCTGCCGCCGGAGCGCGCGTGCCACTGCCTCTGCCGCGCTGCGGCGTAAAAGTGACTGGGGAGTTCTTGGGGCCCACGCGTCGAAGAGGTCGAAGCGCCAGCTGGCTGGGCCCCTCAGCCTGCCCCTCGCGCGCCTCTTGGACCCAGGAGCCCCGGCGTCGGGCGGGTGCTGCTGCATGCCGCGGGGCCCCCAGAGGGCACCCCGTTGGAACGAAGGCTGCAGCGACGGCTCGCCGAGCCCACGCCTCACCGCGTCGTGAGAGAAAGCGACGGGATGCTGTTGACTGCATCCGGCCTCTGGGCGCCCTGCGCGGGCCCCCAGGCACAAGCATCTGGCGCCTCGAACATCATCGAGGCGCCTGGCTTGTAGCATTCTTGGCCCATGCAGGCGGCCAGGTTCGAGCTACAGGGGTCTCCAACAGCGGTGACTCTGGATGGAAGACCGGCACTGCGGAAGGGGTCAAGAGGTCCGCGGGCCCACGCATCGAAGAAGTCGAAGCGCCAGACGGCTGAGCCCTCTCCTCCTGCCCCTCGAGGTTCGAGGATGCTCGGCGATCGAATGTCAGGGGTCGAGGCTCCCGGGCGCCTCTCGCCCTTGGTGGGCCTCCCGGAGGCTTCACGCCGCCCCTGCAAGATTTCAGACGGAATGCGTTTGGGGCCACCTGGCCGCTCCCGGGGCCCATCCTGTTGCCTGCAGAGGTCTCGGGGCCAGCAGTCCCAACAGCATCACCCTCGCGCCGCGAACAAGAAGCACGACAAAAAAGTGGCTGGCCACCTGCGGCCCAGTCCAGACCTTCGGGGAGCCACGCTGCGAACAAAATCACGACGTTTGACTTCTGGGGGGGGGTGAGCCGCTGGTGAGGGGCAACGTTAGGGCCGTTAGGGGGGGGCGACTCAGGAGGGGAAACATCGAGCTGGTGGAATCGGCGACACATTGCCGATAGATCGTCGATCGGCTCCCGACAGCAAATCCGCACAATCCTGACGCTCCTGAGCGGGGTGAGCTATCGGGCTTCTATCGGCGACGAATGGCAAATTAGGCTGATTCGGGGGCGCGCGAACATGGATTAGAGCTCCATGGATTTGGCGCGCGGTCGCCAAATCCATGGATCGGGGGGTGCCCTCCCCAAAATGCGGCTGGCGCAGCCTCGCCCGGCGGCGGAAAACCGCGAATCCCGAATTCCCATGGCAACGGGACACGTCGCTAATCCACGCCCCCTTGATCTTGATTCGGGGTCCGTGGTCGATGCGTCGCCCCCTGAGCCGACCCCCCCTAACGTTAGGTCGGGCCTGTCTGCCTACAGGGGGATTTGGGGCGATAAATTAAAAATGCTAAATGCTCCCCACATGATCAAAAATTGTCCAAAGATCGTCCCCAGACTATGTTTTGACTATTACTGGGAATCCCTCCTGTAGAGGGACAGGCCCGAGTTAACCCTAACGTTGCCTCCTGGCCCTCGGGTCACGACTCGTCGCTCGGGCGGCCGACCGGAGAAGCGCCCAGCGGGGCGCAGCTGCTGGAGAGGACACCCCGAGGCCGGAAAAGCCGCCGAGAGCCCACGCAGACGCCCGAGAACCTCGCACCTCGACGCCGTTCATTCCCCCCCCCCTCGTTCCCCCCCGAGCCTTGTTCTTCACGAGGCGACAACTCAGCGAAGAAGACTCTGCAGCGAATCAGCGAAAGAATGCCCCCCGGCTTCAAACTGCGGCACCCACTGCACCGAGGAGAGATCCTCTACCACGGTCCGCGCGGGGAGGAGCGGCAGAGTCCCCCCCCCAAACAGTGGAGGCCAGTCCACAAGAAACCTTGCACAAGAAACCCAACCCTGAGACCCCAGGACGCCCATTGATCTCCGGTGTGGGAACGCCGCGCTCTCCACAGCAGAACCGCCGAGATCCACAAAGCCCAGGGCACCCTGGAGGCAAGCAGGGTGTTCCTTGGCATAGGTCGCCCCTATATCACCTCCCGCCGACACCGCCCATGAGTCGGGCGCGCCCCGCCGCCCCGCTTTGCTGGGCGCCGAGATAGACCGTGCGCCGCGCCTCGAAAGGGGCGCGCTGCCTCCTCCTCCCTCCTCCTCCTCCTCCTCCTCCTCCCCCTCCTGCTCCTCCTCCTCCTCCTCCTCCTTCTCCTCCTCCTCCTCCTCCTCCTCCTCCTCCTCCTCCTCCTCTTCCTCTTCCTCTTCCTCCTCCTCCTCCTCCTCCTCCTCCTCCTCCTCCTCCTCCTATTCCTCCCTCCTCCTCCTCCTCCTCCTTCTCCCCCTCCTCCCTGGGGGGGGCGAAGAAAGGTGCACCATCTCGTGCCCCTGTTGGGCGCCTCTACTGCCCTGGTCCTATCCTTCTAGCGTGTGTGTGATGTCTCGGGCCCCGCGAAGCCGCAGCCACTGACACGCTGAGCAGCGCAGGGGCGTGCACGCGGAGCAGGATCGGATGACGCAGCCCTCCGGCAGGCACGCCGAGTAGCAGCCGCGCACGAGACGCGCGAAGCGCGGAGCACTCCGCGTGCTCCGGCGCATAACCCAACGACGCGCTATGAGAATAGCACCAGGACAGCAAGATGCAACAAAAAAGACCACCTGCCTTCGCGCCCACCCACCTCCTCACATTTGCGCAACGCCGGACTTTGCGGGCGGGCCCTGCCGCGGGCACCGCGGCGCGCGGTCGCCCTCGTCACCGCGGGTGCTGAGTGGAGCCATCCGGCTGGGCGCACCCCCCCGAGGCCGCGCGGCCCCAGCGGCGCCCCCCCCCCTCAATGGAGAGAGAAACAGCTACACAAGCATAAACTTCCGACGGCACGCGGCGCAGATTTCGTCGATCTGGGCTAACCCCCCTCGGCCCGCCAGGGGGGCCAGCGCAGATCCAAGAACTCCGCGGGGACCGTCAAGAGAGCAGGTTTATGCAGCTGTTTCTTCTTTGGCGCCAGGAAGCCCGAATGGAGCACCTGGGAGGCCTCCGCAGGAGAGCAGCACCGTTTCATCGCGGCGCTGGCGGACGCACGGCGCGGTCGAAGCTGACGCGGGACGCTGCGGGGCGAACGGCGGGCAGAAGCGGGCGGCCGCGCTGAGGGGTGGCGCACCCAGGCCATGAAGATCTTCGCGAGCTGCGGCCCGAGGCTCCCGGCGTGGCCTCCAGCAGGCTGCCACCGAAGGTAGCGGGAGACCGCACACGGGCACAAACCTGCAGAGGTCCGCGCGGATTTCTCGGGGCGGCGCCCGCGCCGGAGCGGGCCCTGCCGAAGGTTGATGCTTGTGCTGCTCGTGTCTGCCTCCCTTCCCTCTGCCGCCTCCGCCTCCCTTCCCTCCGCAGCCGCGCTGTTCCTGGCTTTCCTCCCGCACCGCTGCCAACTGCCCTCTTCGCACCCCGATCTGGCTGCACCTGCCTGTGCCACCGCCGAGCCCGCGCCCGCAAACTGTGCGGTTGCTGCTCCTCGGCTCGAGCCCCAGGTGTGGGGCCCTCGCCCTCGGAGGCCCAGCTGTGCGAGGGCTTCCTGCGCGGCGCTGCTGCTCTCGCCAAGAGCCGCACGCCGGCCATGGCGCGAACGCCAGACAGCCCAAGCTCGGCGCAGCCCACGCTGCCAGGACGAGGAGGAGGGGGCAAGAACTTCAGCTTAGCGTGCCGCGGCGGTGGGCCCCGCAACACGCTGTGCCTTGCGGCGTGAGAGCGTGTCGCTCCGCTCCGCGGGGTGGGGAACTGGAAAGAGGATCGGGACGTTGACGCCTGGTGAAGGGGAAGCGGTCAGCGCGTCGCGCCGAAGCGCGGTGGGTCAGAACTGGCGGCGCGGCACACGAAGCCGACGTTCCCGACCGTATCGGTATCCAGCGATGCGTGACGATGGTGTAGATTCCTCAGTAGCGCGACTATCACAAAGCAACCCGAGAAGCATAATGCGCCCGGGTGCCGTGTCACGCCGTGCCGAAATTCTAGAATAAGGAAATGTGCCGCCCGCATGCCGTTCTGTGCCGTGCCATGCCGATTTCAGAAGACCAGAAAACCGTGCTGCGTAGACGCGCCAGCGGCGCCAATGCATTTTCACAGACTGCAAGCCGTGCCGCGCAAGCACTTCGGCTCCGATGGTGCTTTCGGTCTTCATGCGCGGTGCAATTCGACAGCCCCGGGGCTGGGCAAGAACCCCTGGAGGCCAGAGACTGCGCACAGCCTCCCGCCTCCCGTGGTGACTGTTTTTTCTCACGGCGCGGGGGCGCCAGGAGCCCCCTGCTGCGTGCCGCCGATAACGGGCGTACGCTCCCATGGAGCAGGGATCCGCGGATCTGGCGCGTGGGCGCCGGATCTGAGGATCGGGGAGCGCAGCCCCCGAAGAGCGGAGCCATTGCCCCCCGACTTGGCGACGGAGCGCGTCCACGTGGCACGGAAGCGGAAGCCGTCGCCCTCAATGCCTGCTCACAGCTCCTCGGCAAGGGCACGCTGCCCGGCGGCGGTCCTTGACGACCGCCTCGCCGCGGTGCACGCAGAAGCAGCTGGTCTGGTCCTCGCCCTCGGCACAGATCTGGGCCCCAGCCGGGTGCAGCTCCACCTCGACGGCCTCGCCAGTGCGGGGGGAGGGGGGGGCAAGCCGAGTGGAGGAGCCGCCATCCCTCCTCTCCTCATCATGCTGCTCCGCCGCTTCCTCCTCCTACTCTCCCTCCTCCCCCTCCTCCTCCTCTTTCTTCTCCTCCTGCTCCTATCCATTTCCAGGTTTCGAGCTTTTGGCCAGCGCACTTGGAAGTCGCGCAGTTGGCCAGAGCCAGCTTATACATTCACCAAAAATGAAACGCCGTGGCAGACCCCCACAAAAGCCTGGGGGGCCTCGGTTGTGGATTCCTCAATTTCCATTTCAGGACCCGGTGCCGTGAATATGTGGAACCCGATCGGCTGTCACTGCGCAGAAGAAGCGAGGGCAAGAACAGCGTAGTGGAGGGAGAGGGTTCGAGAACCGCTGGCTCGAGGGCCCCACCAAGCTTGGTGGAGGGGGACGCGCCGTAGATCCAGGGTCCTTCGCAGAAGATCAGCTCGTGGAGCTGCTTCAGGCGAAGGGAGTTCAGAAAGGCACGCAACTCGGCACGAACTTGGAGCAGGTTCGAAAAGTCGGAGAAGGAGGTGCAGCCAGTGGGTGTGGGCCGGGGCTCCAAGAGCTGCAGCAAGCAGATTGAGGGATCGGCCCAGAAGGTGGAAGCCGCCAGAGTGGCCTTGCAGCAAGCGCAGTCCGCATTCGACGCAGAGGTCAGTCAGCTCGCCAAGCATCGTGAGAGCCTGGCAGAGCTGGATTTCCAGATCAAGAAAGCACAGTCCGCCAATGTCTTGCCTGAAGCCCCAGGCGAAGGAGAAGAGGTGGACCCCAAGCATGAGATTGCCACGCTGGACATCATGGACCAGTGCCTGCGAAAGTACGGCGGCAGGTTCGGCTTCAACGCTGAAAACATCTTTCAGCAGGCAGCAGACAAGGAGGTCCAGTGCAAGATTCCCAACCCCACGGAGACCGAGGCAGCCACTGCAGGTGGCGCGGGGGCTCCTTCGGATGGTGCTAACGCTGCGAGCGATGGCGGGGCAGCAGGGCCGGGCGGCGCAGGAGCAGTTGGACTCGACCCTGGAGGTGCGAAGGTCAAGGAGGCATTCGCCGCCTCAGGCTTCGACGTCTCCCCGGGCCCCGAGAAGCACAAGCGGCCACCGGAGAGCCTCGGCTCACTCGCCAAACGTCCTCGGCGCGGGTGGCGGCACCAGCGGCTGGCGGGGTCTTGGCCACTTCGAGAGGGGGCAGGGCCCCCGCCCCGTGGCCGCGGCGACCCGCTGGGAGGCAGCACCTCAACCCTGGGGAGCGCCGCCGAGACCCTCGGGGGGGAGTCGGGAGGCTCGAGCCTCCAGGTTAGTCGCCGCACACGAGCACGTGCGGGATTATGTCATGGATGGGCTAACGCCAGTGGGTGAGCATGAGATATGTCTGTGAACGGCCAACGCTTCCTCGTGGGCGTCGGAGCAGGCTTTGCTAAAGCGGGCGCAGCAGAGCGCTGAACGCTTACTTCCAGATGTTCTGTGTTTACAAAAGCGCCGCATCAAAGCCGAGGAGCTGGTTCAATCGCCATCGAGGTGGGCAGCCAAGAGGTCCTTCCCTTGGATAGCACGGCAGGCAGAGTCGACTGGCGAAGGCCCTCGGCATTCGAGCGGTGGCACGGTGGTGCTGAGCAGTGCGCGGCTATGACTGCTCATCCGAGATAGTCCGCGGGGCCTCCTGCGGGCTGGCGTCCAGCCTCGCTGTCGACCTCCTCCTTACGCTCCAGCGGCCGAAACGAATTCCCGCTGCCGTCGCGATCGCCAACAGCACGAAGAGGAAGGCCCACAAGCCCTCCTCCCTCACAGGGTACTCCAGGCACTGCAAGGACGGGCACGCCACCTCCACGCACTCTGAACGCGGGCAGAACACCTCTGGGCACGTGCAAACTCGGCGGCGACGATCAGAGCGAATAGCCCAGAACGGGCATTACACGCATTCGCCCGGGAGCCTTGTCGAAGACATAGATCATCGGCACCCCTGGAGACCGTTTTTTTTTTAATCGGCGATAACCCGGGTTATCCGGCGGGGGTGGGAGGGGGCCGGCCGATAACCTAACCTTCGCGCTGTGGGTAGCCCTGCATATGCCCGCGCCCCCGCACCCCAGACCTGCATAACCGGCAGGTTAAATTATCCTGGGGGGGGGGCGAGGGGGGGGGCAAGCCCGATAACCCAGGTTATCGCCGGACCCCAAAAAAAACAGTCTCCTGGACACATGTGTTGCTCTCCACTGGGCTACTCGCCCCCATCGTCGCCTCCGACAAGCCACCTCTGGGCACTCCTCGTGTCCCGCGGGGTGTTCCCCCATCCGCCCGCTGGGCCTGCAGACTGGCCAGCCCCCACGAGACCGGCCAGACGAGGGCGGCCGAGCCGGGCAGCCTGGCCATCGCAGCGATATGCAAGGCCTGAAGGTTTGGGTCAAACATGCACCCACGACGAGACCTAAGCCAAGTGACTACGGAGAAGCACGATCGAGCTTGGGGCGTTTGTGGGCTGGAGGCATCAGTGCTTGGCTAATAAAAGTATTTGTCACACTATGTTGTACGGCTTTGTCGGAGGTTGGGGAGTGAGATCGCAGTGAAACGGAGACCCCCCACCGGGAAATCGGTTTCGGTTTCGTGTTCGTGTCGTGCGTGCGGGCGAGGCGAAGCTGCGCGTAATACCCCTGTAGCTAGGCCGAAAGCGAAAGTCCGGGTGCTCGTCCGCTGGTGGCTGGTTGGACCGGGCGGTGTCCCGGGTGTCCCGGGTGGAAGCGAAAGTCTGGGTGCCCGTCCGCTGGTGGCTGGTTGGGCCGGGCGGTGTCCCGGGTGTCCCGGGTGTCCGGATGCCCGTCCGCCGGTGGCTGGTTGGGCCGGGCGGTGTCCCGGGTGTCCCGGGCGTCCCGGCGCTAACGCACGTCGCTAATGTCATAATTCATTTTTGTCGGCGCATGCGGCGGGCTTTCTTATCCAGTCCAGCTTATCTTATCCTATCCAATCCATCTTGTCCAATCTAATCCATCTTATCTTATCCAACCCATATTGTCCCATCTTATCTTACCCCACCCAATCCAATCCACCCAACCCAATCCATCAATTCACTTGTTTCTGCGCCTGCGGCGGGCCAATCCAATCCATCTTATCTTATACAATTCATTTCTTCCAATCTAACCCATCTTATCTGATCCAATCAATCTTATCCCATCCAATCCAATCCGCCCAACTCAATGAATGCATGAAGGTGACAGGCTGGAGGTCAATCAGGGTGGGAATTTGATCTCAATCCCCCACAACCTCCTTATCGCCCGCAGGGCGGTCGTATAGGTGTATAGGTAGTATGATGTACCCCCCTAGCCCCCATGCGGGAGCCGCGCCCCATGCACGGTCAAAAGGTGGTGGACCCCCTCGGAGGAGAGGGCGGGGGAGGGGGGGGGGGGGGAATCCATGATTGTGGGGAAATACATGATTGTGGCTGATTGGGCTTCTTGAAGGTCGAGGGCCTCGAGACGGCTCTGGAGGGTCAAAAGTCTCTGTCCTTCCCTTTCCCTGGGAGACCTCTTCCCCTGGGCTCCAGCCAAGCCGACCTTGAGCAACCTCGTAATTGAGTCGAAGGGAAGCCCCTTCCCTTTGATCCCTCCCCCGCCGGGAGGGGGGGGGGGTAGCGACCCCCCCCCCGGGTCAGATACGACGCCCCCCCCTGGGACTCCTCTTCCCCTGGGCTCCAGCCAAGCCGACCTTGAGCAACCTCGTAATTGAGTCGAAGGGAAGCCCCTTCCCTTTGATCCCTCCCCCGCCGGGAGGGGGGGGGGGTAGCGACCCCCCCCCCGGGTCAGATACGACGCCCCCCCCTGGGACTCCTCTTCCCCTGGGCTCCAGCCAAGCCGACCTTGAGCAACCTCGTAATTGAGTCGAAGGGAAGCCCCTTCCGGGCTTTTCCGTTCGAGCCGTCACCTCCGTCATTTTTTGTACTCGTCGTCTCTGTCCTTCCCTTTCCCTGGGGGACCTCTTCCCCTGGGCTCCAGCCAAGCCGACCTTGAGCAACCTCGTAATTGAGTCGAAGGGAAGCCCCTTCCCTTTGATCCCTCCCCCGCCGGGAGGGGGGGGGGTAGCGACCCCCCCCCCGGGTCAGATACGACGCCCCCCCCTGGGACTCCTCTTCCCCTGGGCTCCAGCCAAGCCGACCTTGAGCAACCTCGTAATTGAGTCGAAGGGAAGCCCCTTCCCTTTGATCCCTCCCCCGCCGGGAGGGGGGGGGGGGGTAGCGACCCCCCCCCCGGGTCAGATACGACGCCCCCCCCTGGGACTCCTCTTCCCCTGGGCTCCAGCCAAGCCGACCTTGAGCAACCTCGTAATTGAGTCGAAGGGAAGCCCCTTCCCTTTGATCCCTCCCCCGCCGGGAGGGGGGGGGGGTAGCGACCCCCCCCCCGGGTCAGATACGACGCCCCCCCCTGGGACTCCTCTTCCCCTGGGCTCCAGCCAAGCCGACCTTGAGCAACCTCGTAATTGAGTCGAAGGGAAGCCCCTTCCCTTTGATCCCTCCCCCGCCGGGAGGGGGGGGGGGTAGCGACCCCCCCCCCGGGTCAGATACGACGCCCCCCCCTGGGACTCCTCTTCCCCTGGGCTCCAGCCAAGCCGACCTTGAGCAACCTCGTAATTGAGTCGAAGGGAAGCCCCTTCCCTTTGATCCCTCCCCCGCCGGGAGGGGGGGGGGTAGCGACCCCCCCCCCGGGTCAGATACGACGCCCCCCCCTGGGACTCCTCTTCCCCTGGGCTCCAGCCAAGCCGACCTTGAGCAACCTCGTAATTGAGTCGAAGGGAAGCCCCTTCCCTTTCATTCCTCCCCCGCCGGGAGGGGGGGGGGGTAGCGGGGGGGGTAGCGACCCCCCCTCCGAGTCAGATACGACGCCCCCCCCCCGTACCGACCTTGAGCAACGTCGTCATTGAGTCGAAGGGAAGCCCCTTCCCTTTCCCTTCCCCGACGGGGGGGGGAGAGGAGGTCCCGGGGGGGGTCCCGGGGGAGTCCCGGGGAAGTCCCGGGTCAGATACGACACCTCCCTCCCCCACCTTCTCGTCCTTCTCCCCGTTCCCCCAAACCATCCCACAGCCCGTGCCTCTTGCTGCGCATTGCGAACAGGGTCGGCGGCACCGGCCGTCAGGCCTTCGCAATACATGATTGTGGCTGATTGGGCTTCTTGAAGGTCGAGGGCCTCGAGACGGCTCTGGAGGGTCAAAAGATTGCCCAAGACGGCCTCAGGATGGCCCAAGATAGCCCCAACACGGCCCGAGAGGCCTCCAAGACGGCCGTAGAGGCCCTGAAGACGCCCCAGGAGGGCTCCAAGATGACCTCAAAGAGGGCACCCAGAGGCAACACATGGTGGTTTGTCTTCACTGTGTTGCTGCTCTCGACTTCGCGGGCTTCAGTCACCGCAAGACCGGTTCAGAGGCCTCCAAGATAGCCTCAAAATGGTCCAAGAAGCCCCCAAGAGAGCCCCAGGATGGCCACAAGGTGGCCCGAGAGGTCCACAAGAAGAACCCCAAGATAGCCCAACTGGCCCCAAAACGGCCCAAGAGACCCCCAGGACGGCTTTTCGAGGCCCAAAGAAGTCGCCAAGACGGCCCAAAGAGGCTCCCATGACGGCCTCCGAGGGTGCCAGACGGCCCAAGAGCGCCCGCAGACGGCCCAAGACGCCCACAGCACTTCCCAGCAGGCCCCCAACAAGCCCCTGAACAGCCCCAAGATGTCCTCAAGAAACATCCAAAAGGCTCCCAGGAGGGCACACACATATCTATATATATACACATATATATATATATATATATATATATATATATATATATATATACTACGCATTGACGTCCAACCGCGAAGCAAGAGAAACTCGTGGATCGGGGAAGGTACGATCGCAGACATATGGCCACTACCGCCTGATCTGACGACGGATCACGCCAATTATTTTTGGACGCTGCGGAAAATGGACCAGTCGCTAACGCCTCAATCCCTGTTTGCGCTTCCTCGGAAGAATGTGCCTCATACGTAGGTGGGGTCCGAGCATCGGCGATGCATCGGCGCCGTTAGCGTGGAAACAATCGCGCTCCACATCGAGCCACATCGCCGACGCATCGGCGATGAGGCGCGATCCTCCGACCCCATCTGCTATGCCCCCATCTGGGAGGCCTGGATTCGAGACCCAGGCCCCCGATGTCATAATGTTTTCTTAGCGTTACCCCCACGTCTCGATTCATGACTGGTTTCTCATCCTGACTCGATTTTTGACGGTCCTGGGGCCCAGTAAGAGCCCCAAAGGCAGAAAATCTCGAAAAGCCTCCAGTCATGATTTCTTCGTAGCTCGAGGGTAGACGAGCGCGTTCCACTACTCGCAAAGTAACTACTTGCAAATGGCCCAGATCCCCCGCGGGGGATCTACGATAAACTACACCAAAGCAGACATGTGTGTCGGACCTTTTCAAGTAGGCACTTCGCGAGTAGTGGAACGCGCTCGGTGAAAGGGGCTCTGGGGTAGGATCTCCAGGGCGCGGGAGGTCTCGTTTCTCATCCTGATTCGTTTTTTGACGGTCCCGGGGCCCGGTAAGAGCCCCAAATGCAGAACATCTCGAAAAGCCTACCGTCATGATTTGTTCGTAGCTCGAGGGGTTCTGGGGTAGGATCCCCGAGGCGCGGGGGGCCTCCAGGAGGGCCTGCCGGAACTCGTGCGAGGTGCTCGGCCACAGTCTCAGGCGGACGTGCGCCTGGCGGCGGGGCGGCCCTTCCCACGCCTCACGCGCCGCCTCCTCCTCCTCCTCCTCCTCCTCCTCCTCCTCCTCCTCCTCCTCCTCCTCCTCCTCGTCCTCGTCCTCGGCATTCATCCTTATCCTCCTCCTCCTCCTCCTCCTCCTCCTCCTCCTCCTCCTCCTCCTCCTCCTCCTCCTCCTCCTCCTCCTCCTCCTCCTCCTCCTCCTCCTCCTCCTCCTCCTCCTCCTCCTCCTCCTCCTCCTCCTCCTCCTCCTCCTCCCAACGTTCGCCTCCCTCCCCCCTCCCCCCTCCCGCTTCCCTCCTGCCCGATCCCTGGCTCCCTGCCCCCCTCCTGCCCGCAGGGCGGGCCGCGCGGACCGCGGGGTGCGACAGGTGGCCCAGCAGCAGGGCGACCGTCGCCCGGCGCGCCTGCTC